CTGCTGTCTGCTAAACCACTGCGGCTTTTCTGTGAAGCAGCTTTAAACCCTTTGGCAGGTAATAGATCTTGAAGAAAGCTCTGATGAAGCAGTGCACAAACTGCTGCTAGCGTTAGTAATGTGTTTACAGATTTTCTTTCGCAGAGATCAAGGATCCTCGCTGTAGCAATGAGCACTGACATATGAAAACTGCCAGCTCGCTGCTCTTTGACTTTCAAGTGCTGCTGCCTGGACCGGCTGAGTGTTGAAAACGTGTCTCTTTTTTTTTTTTTAGCACATAATAATCCTGCAGTCATTGCGACTTATTCATATTGCTGCTTTCGTGAGAAACAATTCATGATTCAATTGATCAAAGTTGGTGCTTTGTGGCTGCCACAGGAATACACATTCAGCCGTGCAAGAGCTGGAGATCTTCAGGAGATCTTCAGCCTCCAGCTGATCCAATTCCTGCACCATTTAGAGAAGGCACCACTGCGGTGTAGAAGCCTTGATATTGCTATGCCCAAGAAAAGGGATTGTAATTTTGCCTGAGGGAATGCGGCGGGACTTCAAAAGCAGGCCACAAGATTGAGATCCTCTCTTTTTTTGCTGTATAAAATGCACGCACTAAAGCCTCCAGCAGGCTCCTAGTCTTTAAAGTTATGCTTTGTTGGAAAACACAGATAACAAAGCAGAAAGAAAAGGCTCTTCAGTAAGTGAAAACCAAGTGCTGCTGAACAAGTCTTTAAGTGAAAGCATCGGCAACAAATCTCTCTTTGCTTACCGTGCCCTTCACAGGATGGGATGTTCCTCTCATCCCACTTTCTACTCTATGAACCTTCAGGTTCACCCTGGGTTGAATGAGCTGTGCACGACGTTTCCTGGGCCCAGAGAAAAGTTGCTTCCTTCCTTCCACCTCTGAGATCTGTCAGGAGGTCAATTCCTGTACTCAGGTGTGCTCCCTGCCCTTCTCTGCTGTCTTCCAAAAGCCACCCACCTCTGTTGGTCATTGCTTCCCTGGCCAACCCCAGTAGCTCTCCCAGATGTGGAGAGCTGCAATCTCCCTTCCCTTCAGATCCTGCTGACCACAGCACATGAAATAGGTTGCAACAGAAAGGCAGCCTTCATCTTCACTGCCAGGCTGCCCCAATTTTAAGAAAAACATAAAGCATTAAATTATACTATATTTGTGGTAAACTATAGACGAGCAGATCGCCATTGCTGTCACAGAGATCTCCTCAACATGATTCCAGCACTCGCCTCATAAATTACAACACTGAATTAAACAAATTTAATCAAATGAAATACTTTAGTTCTTTCTCAAACCGGTGAGCCCAGCTGAAGCCATATCCAGCTTTTCAGCTCCTTTTTACATATCCAGCTTTTCAGCTCTTGGCAGCTCTGACTTTGTGCAACAGAGAAGAGTTCTTTGTTTTTTCCTTATTTCCACATCACTGCTCTAGGACTAACCCAGAGTTAGTGTCGATGCAGAAATCGTTCCATCTTCTAAAACCTTACATTTAGCGGATAAAGAGTCCTAGAGAAGGCTGGCCTGAATTCTGAATCACCACCAGTGGGACCTACAGAGGAAGAGGAGATTGATGCCTGTAGGGACTACTTGAAAACTGCAGGGCCTGAAAGCACCACAGAGGAACTTTCTATTGAAAGAGCAATCCAACTTTTCACCTGGGATGCCTGTTAACTTACGTAGTTATCCAACAGCTCCACAGAGTGATTCAAAGCATATAAACTAGGCCGCTCTGAGTCACTGTCTCAGATATCCGAGTCTGGCTGCTTAAAATTAAGCAACGTGTATAGCTCAAATAATGGTTTTATGGCTGCTGCTACCTGTTGTATGTGCATTTGGTGAAGTGTGTTGCTGTGCCATCATGAACTGTGCACACTCCTTGCATTTGTATCTGGCACCTATTAAGACACTGAGGAAAATTTAGGTTCAATCCTCCAGAAGTGAGAGATTGATGTAAAACCACGTCTGGATGCTATGAAGTATTTGCAGACCTTTATAGCTTAATCCTAGGGTTATGTCAGATCCAGGCCATACATTAATTCTATATGAAGTAGTTCCTTGAACTTCAAGAAAATTAAATAATAGCTTTTAGCAGCTATTGGGTGGACACTGACTTACAGGTCTGTGTTCTACGTTCAGTGCTGGTCTCTGTTGTTGTTAAGTTAATGATGAACTGGAGAGAGTTCAGAGAAACGTAACCAAAGAAGAGTGGGAGGGACTGAGTGATAAGAAAGACCAAGAGAGAGATCTCTACAAAAATCTTGACTGAAAGGTGCTTGGGTGTAGCAAAATGAACACGATAAAAATCACAAATATTTGAAGATGATAACTAAATGTTACAGATGAAGAATAACTAATAAGGGTTGCGTGAACCCGGGTGACTTAAGGAATCTGAATGCAATTAAAGAGGGATAATAAAGCCCAATATAATAGGAGAAGTTTTGACTATTACACTTTGTAGTAACGGAAGCCCCATTTCCTGGGGCAGTTAAAAGCAGGCAAAGTTTATTTTAAAGACTACAAGGAGAAAGGAAGCAACTCAACACAGGTCTGTACCATCTACAGTTGAAGTTTTTGTTCTTTTGGGTATTTTTTTGGCGTTGTGTGGTTTGTTCTGACAGCACAACAGTTTGTATACAGTTATTAGGATTCCAAAAGTTTTGGTTCAGAAGTTAAACTCTCCACGATCAAACACCACATCTAAGCTATTGCATTCTCCCCCAGACACTTTAATGCCTATTAATTGTGTCTCATTTTCTCAATTAAACGTTCCTCAAACACGCCACGTGAAGTGGTTTTTCCTTTGTTTGATGACCAGACTACATTACCCATCCCAGCTGATCCCTGCGAAAAGAAAAATGAGAAAAAATGTGTTTGCAGGGCAGCCTATTTAAATGCAGTTTCCTTTGCTCTGTGCTGAAAGAAGGCGAGTTACTGCATTTCCGCCAGTCTTCAAGAAAGTTGGGAGGAAATTGTTCTGCCTTCGTATTTCTTTTGGAACAGAAACCAGAGGTCTTGTTATTGAAACTTGAAATAAAGACAATATACTCTCCAAGATTAACTCTTAAAATCCAACTAATTTTTCATGTCAGGATGAAAGACCTGTTGCTCTATTAAAAAGCCTTTGCTGCCACACGATTAACAAGATCTGCAGTGTCTTGGAAGGACTTTCATCTGTGCTTAAAAAAATTACCTACGGCAGATGATTCATAAGGAGGAAAACGAGGAGACATCATACTCTTCTTCCATGACTTTGCAGCTAGCAAGCAGAACAGGAAATACCAGCTTCCCAAAGCGCTATAGCAGCCTGATTAAAATTATTCATGATATAATGAGCTGGAGCTGCCAATCTGATGGCAGTTGTAATTACCAGCCATTTTTCCAGGCAGGTTGAATGTTACAGTCTGTGGCCCTCCTCGCTTCCCTTTCCCTTACAGGACCTTTGTAAGCCATAAAATTTTGGTGAAAGACAAAATTCTGGATGAGATTTATTCACTGATCACAAGATGGGATGGCAGAACCAATTTTAAGACATGCCCGTGTCCAGATTCTGCATAAGAAGGTGCTCATGGCTATAACTGGAATCTGGATCTGTACGTACGTTGTAAACCCATGATGGGCATTTTTCTCTTATTTTTTTAATTTTATTCTCCACTTTTCTTATGGTAAAAGGCTTTCAGATAGAAATTAATACGGTTGCTTTATGTTAAGGAGGAAATAAATAAGATTCCTATGCGGATCCGTTCATTAGTACCCTCTGCACCACCTATCCTCTTTCATGCTCGTTTTAATAAGCGTTAACACCTAATCCACTGACTCGAGGATTAATGCAACGTTGAAAAGATGATTGGAGAATCCAGCTAGATTGCAATCTCAAAGGTAGGAAGAAGAGGCGATTTTGCCACCCTACCCAAAGAGCTGCAATTATTGACATTATCCACGATGGAAAGGAGAAGAAATAACTGAACAGTATGTAGAAACTTGTAATGTCTGCTTCTTTTGGACGAGTTGACAAGGAGAGTGCTGTGATTTTGTTTCTGACAAGTCATTATCTATACGTGGGGATAAGTTTAGCCCCCTAACAAGCAAATCCATTGTTTTCCTGTGTAACCAGCAGGATATAACAATCAAAACAACAAACAGAAATGACAGCACCGCGTGATAACAGCCAGATCCTGCTTGGGAAAGCGTACGTTACACAAAGCACTCTTGACTAATTTGAGAGATGGCAAACAACGCTGGCGGAGATGGAAGGGTTTGCTCTTTTCACTCCCAAATGTGATAGTTTAGCAGGGAGAAGTAATTTTCTGCTGTTCTGAGAGAACAGCTTTGATACAATTAAACACAGTTTTCAAACTTCTCAAAGCCCTAAAAGCAAGAGATCATGGAACATTTTGAAGACACGAGCACAGACACATGTAGGTAATTCATTTAGAGACGTCTGACAGAGGCATATATTACCATCTCCCATCTTTAAACTGCATTTTTGCAGTTTATTTTACACACAAGCTAGTAAATGAAATACACCTGAAAGTTAGTCTGCAGCGTAAAGTATACAGTTAAGTGCAGTTCAAAGGCCTACATTTTATGTGGTTTCTTGGCATCTAAGAGTGCAAATAGGTCTCATGACAGATCATGTCCTGTGCTATTTGAATTAAGCCTTCTTGAATACTCCTCAGAAATCCAGGTGCTCAGTAGTTATTTGAGCACCCGTTTTCACCGCTCTCCATATTTAACAAGCCTATAGCCACCACAGCACCATGAAATTCAAACTTACCATCCCAGTCTGAAAATGAGATTTAAACAAAAGAAGAAGGAACAAATGCCAGGTGTTTTGAGGTCACTATGACTTTTCCCCTGTTTTAAGTCATTACTCTGATTTTCCAGCAGTTAGTTGCTTGTCGTTTGGTTTTTTTTTAAACAAAAAGCCTCACCGTTGAGCAAAGATCTTAAGCCAACCTTTTTGGGGTAATAAAAGCTGTATTAAACTCACCTGCTGTAAATGTAGCATCCCATATGGTTGATTTCTTTGTCCAGTTTATACCGTCGAAAGTCCTCCCACGCATCTTTGATGGCTGCAATGGCCATTATAACACAGACGGGGATCACAGAAACTTCTGGTTGGAAAGCGTTCACCACTGGCACAAAATTCAGCAGGGCAATGACCACGAAATAAATATTGGCGAAGCGGTGAAACTGCTCATAGATATTTTTAGGGAGGAAAGTCAAGATGTTGTATCTTGTGGTCTTGATTTTATTGGGGTCGTAGTGTCTGTTTGGATTTTCATTCCACTTCTTACTTCCAAAGAGCAAATTGGAGACGATCACTCGCTTGTTTTCGTTTTTCTTCTTCCTTTTCTTTACTTTTCCTCTTCTCTCCAGCTCTTCATTTTGGATTTCAGGGTCCGCAGCACCACATTGGCAGCAGGTTTCCTTGAAAAAGTGCTTTTTCCATATCGCTGTAGAGAAGCAGCCTAGAATGCTTTTCCGTGACATCTTGCTTTCCTCTTATAACGTAGCCTCAAGTGGTAAACCAACAAATTTGAAGAATTCAATGATCCAAATCAACTCCCAGAAGCGGTGGCGAGCAGAGCCAAGGTGTGGGAAGGCCGGGGCTGCCTCTCCCTGCACTGCAGGAAGCAGGGAGTGACACCTGGGGACAGGTATCATCCAACCCAGCCGCGCTGGGTCCTAGCGCCGGCCGGGGAGGCTGCACCTCAGCGATGACAAACACATCCCGAATGTTTCGTTATTCCTGTCGGTGTGCGCCTGGAGGCCCCGTGCAGAGCAGGCACCGACTCCCTGCTCGCATGAAGCGTCTCCGTCTTAACACGGACGTAGATGCAGTTTGCACGGCTCACGTCAGGAGTTTCAGAAGCACTTTACAAGCTGGGGAGTTGCCAGGAAGTTCAAAGGTAATGGGCAGAGCTCCGTGTCCCACAAGTCAACAGAAGGCTGTAAGCTATAGTTTCTCTCCTACTTCCTCTACCTACTGTTTGTTTTCATGACCATAACACAGATTGCTAAACAAACAACCAACCCTCATTCCCCAAACCAAGGAAACCCATGATTTGGTGGTTGTGAGAACAGGCGTAGGGAATTGAAGGGCAGTTTACCTTGGTTATCTGTCCCTCAGCCTGGTCGTTCTCTGATAGACCTTCTGCTTCCGGACACCCAAAACACCTCTCTCTCACACACTAACCCCTTCCAGCCTCTCATTTCTTCTTCCCCATTGGTGCTTGTGCCTCTGACACATAAGTATGTAATCACAGATGAGGACTAATTGCCAACAGAGCTAATGAGATGTGTACAAACCACAGCACTTTTCTTTTTATGAGGTGAGAAAAGGAAGAGACTCAAACTCTTTTTAAATGAAAACTCCTATCTATTGCCTTACGTAGTGACGAGCTAAGTAGTCTCAAGTCGAGTTAGCACTTGGATGAGAAACTCTGATGAAATCAAAGTGTTGCAATAAGAATTGCACATGGAAATGATTATCCTGTCTGAGTCAGGACTGAGCAAACATCGCAGGTGTTGTACTGTCTCCAAAGGGAAACCCTGCTCTACCAAACACCTCTCATTACTGGAAGTCCTATACAATTTCATTCAGTTCCTGGTTATGCTTCACCTTGAATGTAGTTGATTATTAATTTTTCTATTCATAGTTTTAGTATGAAACATCTGCAAGACATTGCTCCAATTTGTTAAACAGCCCCAGCGATCCTTCCCAGACTTGGATACGTTTCATTTCTCCTCTGGATCCTTCTGCTACCTGGAGAGGATGTTGTTGTGTAAGTTGGCAAGCTGGTTTGGAAACTTGGAATGAAAACCTGTACATCAGCACGCACTGCTGTGATATGAAACGAAACCGTAATGATACCAGGATGACTTAAGTGAGATAAATGAGGCATTTTTAAAGGCAGAACACAACTATTCTATAACACCTCTCCAAAACTTACTGTACTCCAAAGGGGCAGTGAGTGAATTACCGCAAAACCAGTTTCCACCACATCAAACACAAGGAAAAATAATTGGTTTAGTTGACTTACTTGTCATATATCCTGGTTTGAGAGAAGTTTATCGTCTTATCAAATCGGTATTTTCTGTAGTCTTCAACAGCATCCTTAACCATGCTGGCAAGCAGCACCACGCTCAGCGGCAGCATGGTGATCTCCCTGTGAAACACTTCCACTTGGGGGAACCAGTTCAGAACCACCAGAAAGAAGAAATAAAGATTGCCCAGTCTGAAAAGGTATAAAATAAACCAAAAGTAATCAGAAATTAGAGTGTGTCCTTTTCTTAATGAACATCCCCATTTTTGTGTCCAAGGTACAGTAATTAATTCACTCCTCTGCTCTCCTCTTCCTTTTCCAGAATGAATTAATCAGCTGCTTAACTGAGATGCTGATCTTTTCTTTAGAAGAGCTCGTGAGATGTATTTTTGTAATATTATAGCTACCTCCATTTTCCCACATATCAAGCCCACTTCGTATCTCTAAGAGCTAAAACTTCCTTAATGATCCCTGACTGCCTCCGTCTTGAAAAGCAGCACAAAATCCATCAAAAGCCCAAAATACTTAAAAAAACCCCCAAAATACTTAAAAAAACCCCAAACCAATGTAACAGAATAGGTGTAAAAACCCACGTATTCAGAATTATGGTAATGTCCCCGTTAGGAGTCCATGAAGGATTCCAGAGTTGGAAGGCTGAATTGGGAATGTGTAAATCTAATATACAGAATGAAATTTTCAAAGCTAGAGATGGAGCTACAGCTTTCATTTGTCTTTATCATAATGATGTTTTCATGGGCATCTTATTCATTGTGCTGGGGGGTTCACAATTTCAAACCAGCACTTGGAAAGAAACCTGACCTAGCAGTTGCATCTACACATGCACTGTTTATAAGTCAGCAGACAAAGTCACTTGCATGCTGTTAAAAATGTACCAGAATTAATCTATAAGCCCTCTGAGTTCTACAGAATTTCATCGGTGTCTCAATGAACGTCCTTTTGTGTTCTTAAAAATCAAATGTTTATCCAATCTCTGTCCCTCAGCAGAAACAGAGGATTTTTTAATTAAAAACTTGATGTTTTTACATAGAAAATGGTTCCAGCATTCAACCAAGGAAGCTGGCCACTGCCTCAGTTAAGCCCACCTAACGTTTACTTGCTTTAAACCTCAATTTCAACGTGAATCAAGTGGCATTTGGTGACAAATAATCATCACCTAAACGTAAGCAATGTGGTAACTGCAGAAGCAGCCCTTCTCCATCACCCTCAAATAGCACTCTTTTAGAGATGGTTCTTAAATCTCGTGTGTCACCGAATGATTTTTCTTTTTTACCTGTGAAACTGCTCAAAAAGATTTTGGGGCAAAAAAGTGCACCACGTGTATTTAGTGGTCTGTATCCTGTTCCCAGAATAAACCGGAGCAGCTGGTTCCCAGTCTTCCCACTGCCTCCTGTTGTGGGGAAACACAACTCTCCATCCTTTTCGGTTGAGGTTTGGTTTGTCCCTGACAGAAAACAGCAGCGGTGTCGATTCGGACGGGGTCTGGGAGGGAATTGGAGCCCCCAGGCGCTGCCAGCGGTACAAAGCAGAGTCCACAGACAAAGCCATTCCCAGCGGGGGTGTCAGGCTGAAAGGCAAATGCACGACAAGGACTGAAACCCAATTCTGTTCTGGTAGAAACTTCCCTTCGTGTCTTGCTGGCAGAGGTTTAAAGCAGCAAACAATTCTCCTGTTCAGTGCATTACACGTTCAGTCCTCGAGCTCAGCACTTTCTGCAGAGAATGCACAGAACAAAAGAGACAACAAAATCTTCAATGTGGAAAAATCTATTTCTGTCTCCTGGGGGAAAAAAAATAAACCCTAAACCTATTTTCTGTGTGTTATAACAGCAAACTTACATAGATAAGGGCAATTTAACAGAGGTGAACAATGGCTTTTTCATCACAAATTCTGTATCATTTTCCCCAGTAATAAACTGCCACCAAATCTCTTCAGGCATTTTTCTTCAAACGTCTGACTTTCTTACAATACCTTTTCTATTCACACCTACTTACAAAGGGACCGGTTCAGGTGTTGAATCTTAAGAGCTCAGGAAATAAAGAACTGCAGCATCAGCTTAATCTCATTTACGCTCGTGTAAGAGTTTTCCAGAGTCCCCTTGGAAATCTGATTTGAATAGGAAATGCCAGCCAGCACTAAAACAACGGATGTTTTATTGGTTGGAGAGATAAAGGAATTAAATCTCCCAGCACTAATCCTATTGCCATTGAACACGTCTTCTGACTTGTTCACACATCCCAACTGCAGTTGTGATCCGGCGCGCAGGCTCCAGCAGCGAAGGTGTTTTTGCTGTTATTCTCAATCTGAACACAGGAAAATCTCAAGCCAGCAGCAGGCGTCTGAGGGCTGGGAGCTGCTTTACAACGAGCACTCAACGTGAAAAAGCAAACGAAAAAAAGCACCGGCCTTGTGCAACTTCAAGGTTCCACCACACAAAACACGTGAAGTGAACCCACCTCATTTCAACATTGGGAAATACAGAGAAAAACAAAATTTAAACTTTGACAATGGTCATTTAGATCAATTCACTGAAGAACTGGTTTAGACTTTATTAAACAGCAGCTGTATTTGAAGCAGATTGAGAATACCTGTATGTGTTTGCACAAGTCTAAACAAACACGTGTCAAATACATTAAACCTTTGAAATGGTTTATACCTTTATTACCAGCGAGTCCTTTGTTGCTCTCAGCTTTCTCTTCCAAAAAGCCTATCTTTCACTTATGCAACACGTGAAGAAAAGCTTACTCCTATTTTAAAATATGTACAAGTTTTAGCCTTGGGAAGGGTTCCCTCTATTGCTGTACGACCATGGCAGCATAAGCCTTTACTGTCTCAACATCCAGCTTTTTGTGAAGTTGCAATTAATTAATGCTATTTCCATCATTCCCATGGAATCCTACTCAACAGTTCCAGAAGCCCCAGTTTCAAGAAGCTATTTTCTCTCTTTCTTTCTGTTCCATTATTGATGGATCTCCATTATATCCATACCCATTACTGATGGATGTAACGTGGGCAGCTCTCAATAGAGCGGACACGTTTTGCCCATCTGTAACTCCCACGTGGTTTTCCAGGGAGAAAATATCAGTCAATGCAACCTAGGGCAAGTCCTCTCCTTGTGTAGATGTCCCTCAAGATTCCCATAACCACATATATTCATTATATAAAATTACAATTAATCCTTACCTATCTTATTCTTCCTTTTAGGAAAGGTAAAACTTTCCTTCTAGTCCAAACTTCTGTCTCTCCTCTTTGACCTCCAGTGGAGCTGCTGTGGTCCCAAGCTAAAACACCTCAGGTATTTCAATTCCTGAACTTCTGCCTTGGGAAAAAACAAGACAAGCAACATATAAGTGATTAAACCATTATCTATTTATAGCAAAAGGAACTTGGCCATAGCAAAATGTGTCAGCTCTGCACCCTGTTATG